TCTGCAGGTACAGGGAAGCTTCAGCGTGTGCAAGGTACCATGAATTCTCTTCAGTACCAGGAGATATTGGATGGAAACGTGATGCAGTCCGTCACACACCTGAGGCTTGGGAGACGTTGGACCTTTCAACAGGACAATGATCCCAAGCATACCTCCAAGTCCACTAGAGCATGGTTGCAGAGGAAAGGCTGGAACATTTTGGAGTGGCCATCGCAGTCACCAGACTTAAATCCGATTGAGAACCTCTGGTGGGACTTAAAGAAAGCAGTTGCAGTGCGCAAGCCTAAGAATGTGACTGAACTGGAGGCCTTTGCCCATGAAGAATGGGCGAAGATACCCGTAGATCGCTGCAAGACACTTGTGTCAAGCTATGCTTCACGTTTAAAAGCTGTTATAACTGTAAAAGGATGCTGTACTAAGTACTAAGATTGAATGTCACTTGGGGGTTGAATAAAACTGATAATGCTGTGAGCACAGAAAAGACATTTGTGGTTATTTCATTATAACTGTTATGTTATATTTGTCTGACCTACAAGTGCCTCTTTAATGTAAATGTAAGCAAGATGACTGAATGATCAAAAGCAATGTCAAACTGGCCAAAACACTCAATTCAGTGGGGGTTGAATAATTTTGGTCACAACTGTAACTCTATTTCTGTTTCAATGGGCAAAAAGGAAGCAATGGAAAATCTTCCAAAAGGCAAACTACAAAATCCCAAACTCTGGGTTATTATTTCATATTCATTTGATCCCTTCCACCCCCAATTTCCCCAGGCTCTCAAATATAAGAGTCAGAATCGCACTTTACAGAGGGGCCTTAGTGAGGCAGTACAGCTTCCACATATATTTGCAAACATGTGCAGCTAAAACCTTTGTTTTCAATGTAAATTGTTGTATAATGCAATTTTGGAGTTTTTATGCAAGCTAACTGGTAAGTGTGCTGGGAATTCTTTTGTTTTTTTGTAATGTGCATTGCCCTTCCATGTGCACCTTACTTCAAAAACTAGTTATAAATTGGGTGGGTTGCCATTCTTGTATAGTTTGTTTGCTGGATATAGCCTGGGGCCACATTGGACACTTTCAGCTGCCCGTTTGCTCTTGCTAGTCTTCTAATGTGTCCCTGCATTGTTAAAGATGAATGGGCTCCCTCCAGGCATAACTGCCCTTCTTTTATACACTCCTATATATAATCCAACTTGGAGGCTTTCACATTTGTGTTAGGATCACACTTTCCAGAGATGATTTGGCAAGGCAGTGAGGCTTCCACATATATTTGCAAGTATGTGCAAATAAAAGTGTAACACAAATTGTTAAACAGTACCATTTTGTTTTTTGCAGGCTAGGTAGTAGGTGTGCTGGGAAATCTTTTGTTTGTTTTAGCCACTTTTCCCAGCTGCAGCAGGCTCTTGAATTAACATAGGGGCTAGGGGAAGAAATCACAGCATGCAGTGGGGCAAACAAGTGTCTGACACTCCTGGAAGTGTCAAATGGAAAGGTAGGAATCATGGTACTCCAGAGAGGTGGGGGTATAAGCCTTTAATTTGTATTTTAAACTGACAGGGTCAGCTTCTTTTCACCATTGGTGCTTGGCCAGTCGGTCATCAAGTGCTATCACATGAGGGTGAGGAGAGGGTGTTCAGTCCTGAGAAGGCTCAGGGACACAGATCCTGCCCTCTTCCCCAATATTGCCCGTGCTCCCAAAGCAAAGATGTTGCTCATTTCACATAAAAAGTTAAGGAAAAATTGCTGGGTACAGAAAAAAATATAAACCAGACATAGTTTTTAATCCTTCCCCTGTAAAAAAATTAAAAAAAGCACAAATTCTGATTTTTACAATAACCCATGTCCCTTTCAAGTATCAAGGCAGGATCAAGGAAACTGTAAAGAAAACGACAATTTCCCTGAATGTTATGGAATTTGAAAAAGAAAACAGGCAAGAGTGGAAAGTACTCCATTACTAAATCAGCTCCCATGTGTCTAATTGCTTATACACAATAATAGGCAAGGTAAATAAAATGAACAAACAAGTCTCTATTCCCATTGGAGTTTTCATTCATTTCAAAGACAGCTTATCTGCCCCTATTGATAAAAACACATAATATTTTGCCTTTACCTCAACTCTTTTTAGGTGGCAGAGTCAAACAAAGCTTGAAATTAGCTGGTGGAATATGACGTCTGAGACTCGCCCTTTACAAAAGTTCCAAGACTGTAAATAAGAAAAAAAAAAAACACATTAGCTGCAAAGCAATATAAACACACTAACAAGTGAATGTGTAAAATATATCTTTTTTTTGAGTTGCAGTAGAAAAAAAAAAAGTTTTCATTTATGTTATAACTGAACAAAAATACAATAAATTAATAAAAAACTGTTTAGGTTTACTGTCTTTAAACAGTGTAAAAATAACACGTAACTCGTTTTTAATGTGTATGTATAGTAATCCATCAGCCAACCACAATTCTTCTTTTATTGATATCAGTAAACCTAATCAGTGGCCATGGGTCAACTACACTTTGCACATCATTGTTAATACATGCTAGAATTGTAGAAGTGTTCATCTCTTTTCTTGCCTGATAGAATAATATCAATCATGTCTGCCACTAATAACCTACCATCAGTTCTTATATGATAAAATAGTTGCAAAAAAGAAAGTTTATATTAACAAATCTAATTTCTGAAGAGTAGGGAAAATGTAGCGTTTAGCTACACTTACAATAGCCATAGGAGCTTGCCTACTAAAAGGACCACAATAAAGGAATGTCTAGGAATTGTAGTTTTTGTGCTGAATACTTGCGGTCAGACCACAGCAGGCCATTCATGTATGATCAGATCTTTAAATATGCATTCAAATAGAATAAGCTGGGTGAAGCAAAACAACCCATGACACGTTTTTTTCCTTCTTTTTCTTTAATTCAATCCTTACTTTACAGTGCAACTCCAGTCATTGTCAACAGGATATAAAGTAAAGATAGCAAAAACCAGGCAGATGTTCTAAGCACTTTCTCTTACCTGAAAAAAAAATGTTTTGTTGCAGTCTGTGTCCACACTGAAAAGATTACTCAAAACTTATTGTTCTGGCAATGAGTAGTTCATCATCATTTAGGATCATGAATAGTAAAGGGCCTGTTTCCCCCTCATCTCCTACTTGTGTTCTAAATTTCCATTTGAGTACCTACAACCTATTCTGCTCTTCAGTATTGTCTTCTCTAAATGGAAGGTAGTGCCCATTCAGAAAACAAAGGATTTGTTCTGCATTTGAGTAGGAATGGGTAGAACCATTCAAAGCAGTTCTTTAGGCACCTGTTGTCAAGCGTTTGTTGAAACCTACTGGTCTATGGCCCAGATGAAGTGTGCATTTACAGAGCTATTTGTTCTAACTAGACATGTGCACACAAATACATTTGTTTCATTGAAGATTTTTTTTTCCGTTACATTCATTAGAATGAACCGATTAGTATTCAGGATTCGTTTAGTTACATTCCACTTTTGCTTTGTATATACCTTGAAAGGATTCAATATTTTCAGATGCAACTAAATAAATAATGCAAGATTCGGCGGCCCAAAATTTTTCAAACATAGGAATTGCATTAGAATGTGGAACTAAATTGACTGTGACAATAACAAATTCAATTTAAATCACAAATTTACTAGAATCCGAATTATTGAAAAATTTTAAAATTGAATTAATTTCCCTATGGGCCTGAACTACTATCAAATCATGAAACAAATGCACTCGGTAATTTCCTTATAACTTTTTTCAGATTCATTTACATTCATTACTATCTCTAATTGGAGATTCTGATATATCTGATTTAAATTACATTTTCGGATGAAAATCGATTCATTATGAAATTAAATGCACATGTCTAGTTCTAACGTATACATGTTTCATGTGGCCATCAGAAGTGCAAGGTATGGAAAACATAACTCTGTGGAGTAGGATTAGATGAGTACCAGAAACTAGTCTAGATGCACAGCTGGTGACAAGGCATAAGGCATAAGAAGTACTGCATAGCCCTGCTTACAGTCCCAAAATTAGGAATAATCTCCTTTTTTATTTGTATTGGATGATACAGGTAGATACCTTGAAGAACTTTAAGAACTTTTGAACAGCTACCCTTCATAGATGATACCCTTGCCTCACAATTATTCATGGATCCATACTTTTTTCAACATCCTACCTACAAAGTTGCCTCCTACCTTGGAGGGAAGCTACTGTTCATGCAGGCACAACTAAGGCACTGAAGATCTGCATAAATTGTTATATTGTCAGAATAAAAAAAAAAAAACACATCAAAACACTATATTGCCAAACGTATTGGTACGTCTGCCTTTACACGCACATGAACTTTAATGGCATCCCGGTCTTAGTCCATAGGGTTCAATATTGAGTTGGCCCACCCTTTGCAGCTATAACAGTTTCAACTCTTCTGGGACCACTGACCACAAGACTCAGGAGTGTGTCTATGGGAATGTTTGATCATTCAAGTTCCTCCACCCCAAACTTGCTCTTCCATGTCTTTATGGACTTTGCTTTGTGCACTGGTGCGCAGTCATGTTGGAACAGGAAGGGGCCATCCCCAAACTGTTCCCACAAAGTTGGGAGCATGAAATTGTCCAAAAAGTCTTGGTATGCCCCTTAAGAGTTCAGTTCACTGGAAATAAGGGGCCAAGCCCAACCCCTGAAAAACAATCACACACCATATTCCCCCCTCCACTAAACTTTACACTTGGCACAATGCAGTCATGCAAGCACCATTCTCCTAGCAAACTCCAAACCCAGACACGTCCATCGGATTGCCAGAGAAATGTGATTCATCACTCCAGAGAACACATCTCCACTGCTCTAGAGTTTAGTGGTGGCGTGCTTTACACCACTGCATCCGACGCTTTGCATTGCACTTCTTGGTGATGTAAGGCTTGGATGCAGCTGCCCGACCATGGAAACACATTCTATGAAGCTCTCTACGCAGTGTTGTGCTAATCTGAGGCCCGTAATCTGCCAGCACCCTATGACAAAATGGAACACACCAGCAGTGTGATGAGACCTGAAAGTGGCACATGGCAGAGTGTGGCGATGGAGACAGCAGCAATGGGAGGCCGTACAGGGACCCATGGCTGGAGGCCCGGACCTGCCAGCAGCAGCATGAGGAGGCGGTACAGGGGCCCATGGCAGATTACGGGCCTGGCAGCAGCAATACGGGGAGGCCCGTAATCTGCCAGCACCCTATGACAAAATGGAACACACCAGCAGTGTGAGGAGACCTGAAAGTGGCACATGGCAGAGTGTGGCGATGGAGACAGCAGCAATGGGAGGCCGTACAGGGACCCATGAGACACTCTGGACCTGGCAGCAGCATGAGGAGGCGGTACAGGGGCCCATGGCAGATTACGGGCCTGGCAGCAGCAATGGGAGGCCCGTAATCTGCCAGCACCCTATGACAAAATGGAACACACCAGCAGTGTGAGGAGACCTGAAAGTGGCACATGGCAGAGTGTGGCGATGGAGACAGCAGCAATGGGAGGCCGTACAGGGACCCATGAGAGACTCTGGACCTGGCAGCAGCATGAGGAGGCGGTACGGGGGCCCATGGCAGATTACGGGCCTGGCAGCAGCAATGGGAGGCCCGTAATCTGCCAGCACCCTATGACAAAATGGAACACACCAGCAGGTGACCTGAAAGTGTGAGGAGACCTGAAAGAGGCACATGGCAGAGTCTGGTGGGCGATGGAGACAGCAGCAATGGGAGGCCGTGCCACAGGGACCAAAATGGAAGACACTCTGGACCTGAAAGTGGCAGCAGCGATGAGACAGCAGAGGCGTACAGGGACCCATGAGACACTGGACCTGGCAGCAGCATGAGGAGGCGGTACGGGGGCCCATGGCAGATTACGGGCCTGGCAGCAGCTATGGGAGGCCCGTAATCTGCCAGCACCCTATGACAAAATGGAACACACCAGCAGTGTGAGGAGACCTGAAAGTGGCACATGGCAGAGTGTGGCGATGGAGACAGCAGCAATGGGAGGCCGTACAGGGACCCATGAGAGACTCTGGACCTGGCAGCAGCATGAGGAGGCGGTACGGGGGCCCATGGCAGATTACGGGCCTGGCAGCAGCAATAGGAGGCCCGTAATCTGCCAGCACCCTATGACAAAATGGAACACACCAGCAGTGTGAGGAGACCTGAAAGTGGCACATGGCAGAGTGTGGCGATGGAGACAGCAGCAATGGGAGGCCGTACAGGGACCCATGAGACACTCTGGACCTGGCAGCAGCATGAGGAGGCGGTACAGGGGCCCATGGCAGATTACGGGCCTGGCAGCAGCAATGGGAGGCCCGTAATCTGCCAGCACCCTATGACAAAATGGAACACACCAGCAGTGTGAGGAGACCTGAAAGTGGCACATGGCAGAGTGTGGCGATGGAGACAGCAGCAATGGGAGGCCGTACAGGGACCCATGAGACACTCTGGACCTGGCAGCAGCATGAGGAGGCGGTACGGGGGCCCATGGCAGATTACGGGCCTGGCAGCAGCAATGGGAGGCCCGTAATCTGCCAGCACCCTATGACAAAATGGAACACACCAGCAGTGTGAGGAGACCTGAAAGTGGCACATGGCAGAGTGTGGCGATGGAGACAGCAGCAATGGGAGGCCGTACAGGGACCCATGAGAGACTCTGGACCTGGCAGCAGCATGAGGAGGCGGTACGGGGGCCCATGGCAGATTACGGGCCTGGCAGCAGCAATAGGAGGCCGTAATCTGCCAGCACCCTATGACAAAATGGAAGACACCAGCAGTGTGAGGAGACCTGAAAGTGGCACATGGCAGAGTGTGGCGATGGAGACAGCAGCAATGGGAGGCCGTACAGGGACCCATGAGACACCTGGACCTGGCAGCAGCATGAGGAGGCGGTACGGGGGCCCATGGCAGATTACGGGCCTGGCAGCAGCAATGGGAGGCCCGTAATCTGCCAGCACCCTATGACAAAATGGAACACACCAGCAGTGTGAGGAGACCTGAAAGTGGCACATGGCAGAGTGTGGCGATGGAGACAGCAGCAATGGGAGGCCGTACAGGGACCCATGAGAGACTCTGGACCTGGCAGCAGCATGAGGAGGCGGTACGGGGGCCCATGGCAGATTACGGGCCTGGCAGCAGCAATGGGAGGCCCGTAATCTGCCAGCACCCTATGACAAAATGGAACACACCAGCAGTGTGAGGAGACCTGAAAGTGGCACATGGCAGAGTGTGGCGATGGAGACAGCAGCAATGGGAGGCCGTACAGGGACCCATAAGACACTCTGGACCTGGCAGCAGCATGAAGAGGCGGTACAGGGGCCCATGGCAGATTACGGGCCTGGCAGCAGCAATGGGAGGCCCGTAATCTGCCAGCACCCTATGACAAAATGGACACACACCAGCAGTGTGAGGAGACCTGAAAGTGGCACATGTTTGGGGCATGATTCATGGCGGATTTAGTCAGTTGTGTCAGGAACTGGTGGTTTGAAATCCAGACTAATCCACGCCTGATTCATTTTCACAAACGTGAGTCTCTCCACACTTTGGGTGGACAGTCGTGTCCTCCGCGGAGTTACAATACCTCCTGCCGCACTAAACACGCGCTCCGATGCCACGCTACTGGCCGGGAATGACAGCCTTTCAAGGGCAAATTCAGCTAGTTGGGGCCAAAGGTCAAGTTTCGTTGCCCAGTAGTCAAGGGGATTGTCTACCTCGGTTGGCAGGGTGCTGTCCAAGTAGGCCCAAGCCTGTTGTTTGAGGTCCTGCTCCAGGTCCACCTGATGCTGCTGCTGCTGCGGCTGGTTAGTAGTTTCCTCACTGCGCTGGTGAAGAAAGCTACTCATCATCGACTGCAGACTGAGGCAGCCGCTGCTGGTGGAGCTGCCACTGCTCCTACCACCCCACCCCTCCCCTGCTGCCATGGCAGCGGAACGCGAGCGCACAGGGCCCACAGTGTCTGAGGATGGACGTTGGCGCAGAAAGGCAGAGACCAACTGACTACATAGGTGGTTTTTATAGTACGTTATTTTGGCCTCCCTCTCAGCAGGTGTGAAAAAGGCCACCATTTTTGAACGGTAGCGAGGGTCCAACAAGGTGGACAGCCAAAAGTCATCCCTCTGTCTGATGGTTATTATTCGGCTGCTGTCGCTACGCAAGCAACCGAGCATGCTATGGGCCATTTGTGCCAAGGAATGCGAGGGACTCCCTGCCTCCATCTCCACAGCATACTGCCACGGTGTGTCTGGGTCCTCTGTCTCCTCCTCCTCCTCCTCTACCAGATGCTCCTGCTCCTCCACTCCTGTCCGCTGAGTGGAAAAACCACCCATTTCACTCAATAATTCCTGAGCACAAATGTCCTCCTCTACCTCCTCCTCTTCTTCCTGTCCTGCCCCCACAGGGGTCATGTGGCGTTGAGATCTGTGCGCCACGTCTACCGCACCCTGACCAGCCATTGTTAACAGCATTTGTTCCAGGACGTGCAACAGAGGAATGACGTCGTTCATCCCATAGTCCTGCCGACTCACGAATAGCGTGGCCTCCTCAAAGGGCCTGAGCAAGCGGCAGGTGTCACGCATGAGCTGCCAATGGCTGACATCGAAGTTACACAGGGGAGTACCTTTATCCGCTTGTAACATCAGGAAATCGGTGATGGCCTTTCGCTGTTCGTAAAGGCGGTCTAACATGTGTAGGGTTGAATTCCACCTTGTTGCAACGTCGCAGATCAGGCGATGCTGTGGAATTCCGTTCTGCCGCTGCAGCTCAAGGAGGGTGTGCTTTGCGGTGTAGGAATGGCTGAAATGCATGCAAAGTTTACGTGACATTTTAAGGATGTCTTGCAGTGGGATGGTGGATTTTAGGAACCGCTTGACAACCAGATTGAACACGTGAGCCATGCATGGCGCATGGCACAACCTTCCTTGACGCAGAGCAGACACCATGTTCTTTCCGTTGTCGGTCAACATGGTTCCGATTTTCAGTTTGCGCGGAGACAGCCATCTGTCGATTTCTCTGTTCATTACACTGAGAAGTTCCTCCCCTGTGTGACTACGTTCGCCAAGGCATACCAGGTGCAGCACAGCGTGACACCGTTGCGCCCTGCACATGTGATATGCCGGTCGGGTAATGGGACTTGGCACGGGGGTGGCGGCTGAGGACACGGCGGAAGAAGAGGTGGTAGAGGCGGACATCTTTTGTGGACCAAGGACGTGCAAACGTGGAGGCAAAAGCGGCGTGACCTGTCCAAGTTGCTGGTGCGGCTGTGACGGCACCACGTTCACCCAGTGGGCCGTAAATGACATGTACTGTCCCTGACCGTAGTTACAGCTCCACACGTCGGCGCTGCCGTGCACTTTGGCAGAGACCGACATGCTCAAAGACTGGCCCACCATCTCTTCTACATGTGAATGCAGGGCTGGCACTGCCTTTTTGGCGAAGAAATGCCGGCTTGGCACTCTCCACCGCGGCGCGGCACAAGCCATCATTTCTCGGAAAGGTGCTGAGTCCACCACTTGGAAAGGGAGGGACTGCAGCACCAGCAACTTGGACAGGAGGACGTTCAGCTTTTGCACCGTCGGGTGCGTGCTCGCAAACTGTTGTCTCTTGGAAACGGATTCCAAGAAAGACTGCTGACGGAATCCGTGAAGAGGAGTAGCAGGAGAAGGAGCATCTGAACAAGCGGAAGATGCCAACGAGCGACAACTCCCCTCAGCAGAGGTGTTGGAGCCTTGACTGGCTGATAGAGGGCGATTGACGTCGGGGTGACGGAGCAAGTAACGGAGCGGGTGATGGAGCGGGGGCTGGGGCAGGCAGAACCGCCGTATCTTTATCACGGTTTTCCCAGGCCACCAAATGGCGACGCTGCATATGCTGACGCAACGCTGTAGTCCCAACATGGGCCCCCTGGCCACGCTTGACTTTCTGGCCACATAGTCGACATACGGCTACGTTTACTTCCTCGGGCGGCTTGACGAAAAATTGCCACACCGCCGAGTAGGAAACTTTGCCCCCGATACTCCTCACTGGCTGACTGCTACTTCCTCCGTGCACACCGGCACCACTACTGGCCGTGGTGGTAGGCTGCAGTGGAGCTGGTGCTCTACTCCGTGGCCGTTTGCCTCCACTGACACTGCTGCGACCCTGCTGCCTCCTGGGCAACCCACCGACTGTTTTGCTCGCTGCCAAGCTGCCACCCTCTTCTCCTGATGATGCGGAAGCAATAGCCTGATGACGACGAGGCTGCCAAGTGCGATCAGCCTCATCATCATCAATTAGGGTCTCCGCCTCACTACTAGCCCCCTCGGCTGCGTGTGGGTCAGGAGACAGACCTGTCTCTAGACCGGCTACCGAGCCACTCTCCTCGCCACTCTCCTCGCCACTACTTCTTCGCCTGGCTGCTGAAGAGGCGGATGTCTCCCCCCGTTCCTGACCGCCCTCTGTTAGCTCTTCCTCACTGTACAGTGGGGCTGAGCCCACAGCATGCGATACTTCGCTTGGTGAGGGAACACCAAAGGACAGGGGCAGGTCGAGGACACGTGATTTCAGTGGGCTTGCTCCCGGGCCATGCCAACTAACGGTTGTGTCTGACGTACCCACCGACCGTTGGCTGTAGGTGTCAGAGGTGACCTGGGAAGAGGAAGACGACCGAGCCAACCAATCAATGACGGCAGGGTTGTCGGTGGAGACACGACCGCTGGATGACACCGGGAGCACTGGCCTCTGGCTGCGACTAGTGCTGCCTCCACCCCTTCCTCTGCTGCCACGTCTGCTCGCTCCTAAAACATTGCCTCCTCTGCCACTCCTCTGCGTGTTGTCTGACATACTCTTTAATTAAACGATTCTGTGTCCCTGAGTAACAATTCTGTGTCAGTAACCTGTGTCTGTCCCTGAGTAACAATTCTGTGTGTCTGTCCCTGAGTAACAATTCTGTGTAACAATTCTGTGTCTGTCCCTGAGTAACAATTCTGTGTCCCTGAGTAACAATTCTGTGTCCCTCAGTAACAATTCTGTGTCCCTCAGTAACAATTCTGTGTCCCTCAGTAACAATTCTGTGTCTGTCCCTCAGTAACAATTCTGTGTCCCTGTCAGTAACCTGAGTAACAATTCTGTGTCCCTGAGTAACAATTCTGTGTCCCTGAGTAACAATTCTGTGTCCCTCAGTAACAATTCTGTGTCCCTCAGTAACAATTCTGTCTGTCCCTGAGTAACAATTCTGTGTCTGTCCCTGAGTAACAATTCTGTGTCCCTGAGTAACAATTCTGTGTCCCTGAGTAACAATTCTGTGT